CCTAAAATTGAAAAAATGTCCCAAAGCAACAATATTATATTTCTTAAACTATTGCTGCTACTGACACAAAAAGAATTCTTTCTATAATTCTTCTATGGCCTTGGTTGGTGACAAAGTGGTTACTAGAAAAATTTTGTAAATAGCTTTTTTTATAAGCTTCCAGGCATAGAAAATAAAAAAAGAGAGAAACTCACCTGAGTGTCACTAGCTTCAATTATCAAATGGGTTTAAAAATTACATAATTCAGTATATAAATCCAAATAATACACAATCTTCCACTAGCATCAATTTGCAGAAGTGCAATATAGTGTTATCAAGTAATGCCAACAATAATTGAAATAAACTTTTGCCTCAGTGGTTACAAATGCATGACCACAGAGTAGAAAGAATTGGGAGTAGGATACTCCATTGGTACATGACTCCTTGATCTCTTTGAGTTCCAGTTTCATGTAACAAGAGTGAGTGCTACAAATGGTATCAAATACTCCTTCTAGTTCTACATTTGAAAGATAAATGTGAATGTTGTAGAACTATTAAGGAGGGATTCTTTCATATAAGTACATGACATTCACTTTGTAAATGTGGCAATAATATTTTGTCACATGTATTCCTTCAGTGTTTTGTTAATATGTTTTAATTTTTAGAGTTCTAGGTTCACAGCAAAATTTATCAGAAAGTACAGAGAGTTCCCATATATTCCTTCCCCCCATACACAAACAGCCACTATCAACATCTCATACTACAGTGATACATCTGTCACAGGTGAATCTAAGCCAACACAGCCATAGTTTATATTAGGGTCTATAGTTAACGTTAGGGTTCACTCTTAGTGTTGTACGTTCTGTGGATTTAGACAAGTGTATACTGACATGTTCCTTCAGTGCTTTTATCATCTTAGCTAGACTACTATATGATAGTGTAAAAAAGTATTAAAATATTTCCTACAGTGAGTGTGAGACAATGACATCCAAATAATACCCTTATTCTTTGTTTATCTTTTTCTTTTAATAGAAACAGAGTCTCACTATATTGCCCAAGCTACCCTCAAACTCCTAGCCTCCTGTGATCTTTCCACCTCATCCTCCCAAATTGCTAGAGTTACAGGTATGAGCCATTGCAGCTGGGCCCTTGTTTACCTTTATCTTTCACAGCAACTTAGCTATGAAGTTCTATACCTGGTAGATATTATAGTAATCAATAGTTGTTCTATCACTGAATTGGATGCCCCAAATTTAAATAAAAGAGATAAAAATGAAAAAAGAATTTAAGTTTGAAGTTTTTCAGATGAAAATTTATTCTCTGAGTAGAATCCCCTCTTCAAGTAGCTTCCTATTGTTTCATTATTAAGGAAAAGTCATAAATATCCCAAAGGGAGGGAGGACTGAATATTGAATAGAGCATTACTTACTGAAGGCCACTTAACTAAGTGGAGCAATGGTCTTTGTTTTGAAGGCTTTTCTCCTAACTAAAATATATCTGTTAAAGCATCAAATGCAGTACTCATTTATCAAGAGGAATATCACCCAGTAGGAAGGGATTTTCAAAGCTCAATAATTTTTTTTTTCCACTGGAATGGGACTTTTCCAATGAAGAGATAAAAATGCTTTGAACATTTTAAATCTAGCCACAGGGTCTTTTTTCTTCCATGGAGAGTATCCAGAATTGCTTCATCTGGTAGAAAAAAAATTCATACATTGCAGAAAGCTTTAATTTATTAGAACCAAACCCAGAAAGACTCATATTTGTTAATTCTTAAGAAATGCACAGGTTTTAACAATACATACATTCTGTAATATCATGGTAATAATCATATTAATAAATTATGATACTTGAAATTTGCAAATGATTCTCTCCCACTTCATCTCCTTAGTATGACGGGAGCTGTTTGTTTAGAGTAAGAGGCAGTTGTGCCCTTCTATTTTGTCATTACAATTTTCATCCTAAAGTAGGGATTATGTCTCTGGGATAAATGCCATTAATGGAAGAAGAGGAAATAAAATATCTGAAAAATGAATTAATAGAGAAAAAACCTATAATCAGGTAAAATATAAAGGTCATGTTTAAAAAAAGATAAATAATTAGAGACTGACACAACAAAAAATGTTTATTTTCTCTCTTTCTCTGAGTTGCAATCCAGTTTATTTTTCCTTTCTCTCTCTCTGTAACTTCCCTCTACAAAGTAACAGAGCTTGTATATTATCTCTGTAATGATATTATAAATCATGCTGCTGACACTTATTCTGATCCTAATATATTTTCATAAAACACAATTAATAAAGAGTCACACTTTAAAGTAGATGAAAGTAACCAAAAGTTATGCACAAAGGCAGTAGAAAGTTCCTGACAGCACCACCACCATCATCACCTTCATTAGTGTTTCAGCTAGTTCAGTCTAAGCACTGGAGGCTACCCTCCTAGATTTATATTTAATGATTGTAAATATTTGCTGAAATCTAATCTTTAAGTATCAGTTCTACAGACTGATAATGATGATAAGGATCATCCTCAAAAGGTAGATTTATTAACCTATGCTTATTGCCCCAAAGTAGTGAAGAAACATCTTCAGATAACTGAATAGAAAATATAATAGCAGTTGAGAGAACAGTAAAACAAAATCCTAGCTAATTAAAAATTTAAATGTAGCTTCCAGGGCATCTTTGTAAATATATATAAATATATATATATATATATATATATATATATATATACACACACACACACACACACATACATATGTATGTATAACATATGATAATTTCTACAATATTTTACTTCCCACTTGATATTTTTATTACCATTTTCTAGGCACCAATATATATCAGGTACTTTGTTAAACATTTGTTTACATCAATATAAACATGGCCACACCAAAAAAGGAAGAAAACAGACTCTCAGAAAAATTAGGTAACTAACCCATAGTCACAAAGCTAGTGGGTGGTTGAGCTGGCATTAGAACCTAGGGTGTCTGTGGCTAAACTCTGGTTTCTTCCAACTATGTTTCACTGGCCTGTAGATCTCTAACCTTCTTTGTTTTAAAGAAAGTTTTGCACTGCTATATTCTGAGTAACAGTAGGTATTTTAATAGATTCTTGAAGATTCTACCTACATGACTATTCCATATGCTTATATCCTTTTACATTTAGAAGAAGAAATAGCTTTTCTCAAAATAATTTTTCTCCAGGAAATAAAAATATGGTAGACAAAACTTTATGTGAAGAACATAAAGTTTTAACTAAAACAGGTAACTTTCTTCTCCTTAGGAAAAGTTACTTTCAAATAAAATAAGTTTATGATATTAATAATTATTAGGCATTTTGAAACAGAAAATCTTATTCTCTACAAATAAAAATATCCTCCATCATAGTACATGTTATTAAACTTAACCACTTAAGGGCCAATATAAACCTAGGAGAGTGAATTTAACTCATTCAAATTATCCATTTACCTTTAAAAGCAAAAGATTTGCTAATGATCGTATCAAGACATTTAGATCATATTGTTTATATTAATATTTTTTCCTCATGGAAAGTTATCAAATATTTTCAAAAATCATTATGGTGTCTTCAAAATAATTGAATATAAGCTCCAGCTAAAACAAAGATTTATGTTCCTAGTAAAAATATGTGCATGTACTGTATAATAAAATGTTTCAGAAGTTCAAGTTTTCTTAGTTTTTCACTTAATACATCCTATATGATAAACTTCTAAAGAATAAAATGCATGTACATAAGAGACAAGATACATTTTGCATTGTAGGAGTAATCAGGCTTCCACCAATAATGAGATTTGACTGAAGTTTGATCAAAAAACACAATGGGATTTTGGCAAGATTAACATACTGCTTAATAAAATGTGTTGTACATTTTTGTATTTCCTTTTGGGAAAGGTGATATTTTTCATGTAGAAAGTTTGCTTCTATCCAATTCCAAACATTTGGTGCAAAATAATCTACTTAAGAAAAGTCATTCTTGAACCATTTGTGAAGATCCCGATTCATTAATTAACTTGTAGTCAAGAATTTTATTAATACATGATTAAACAAAATGTGTTAGAGCTGGGGAAAAATAAACAACTACCAGAAGCCCACATGCCAATGCAAGATTATAAAGATTTTTTTAAGATAGTAAATCAAAAAATTATTTGTTTTTTAACATTAAATAAAATGAAGTCTATACACATATAAAAACATTGTGAACATGCATTTACATGTTCAACACTGAAACATTAATTCAGAAAACATGTGATTTAGTATTTATTTTTATAAGTTTAAGCCCTCAAGTAGAAGATAATAAATCTGAATATTAATGTGAATACCAAATGTTTATGCTATATCAGAATTTAGCAATTAGCACCAAAAAAACTTGTTTACTTCAGTAAATTTAACAGTGTCTACCATTAATTTCCACTTATTTATTTATATTAGCCACAGCAAAAGGTTAGTGTCCACTTTGCTTCCTTTTGCTTCCTTTCACTGTTTGCTAAAATATAAGAATGTGAAGTAAAATCTGACTCCGAATGATACATACTATATTCAAAAATAATTTTCAATGGTTTGACATGTATAATTGTTTCTATTATTTGGATTTCATTTGCCACTGCTTGCATTAGAATAGAAAATAACATCCTCAATATATTTTAAATAAGATCATATTTTAGTATATAATAGATCATAATGATTTATATACCTATATATTTATAACTAGATAAAAATAAAGTGTTTGAATAAAGAAGAGAAATAAAAATAAGCAATCAAATGCCAATCATGGTATGTTGAATCTCAACTGCAATTCAAATGCTATACTTTAGAACAGTTTTACTTGATTTTTTTCACACATTATATATTTAGAACAATTTATGATTGGCTTTAAAATTTATCTATTTGCTGCTTTTTTATTTCTCATCTTGACTATTAAAGTACAGAGGAAATGGTTATATTTCCATCATGTTTAACAAATCAAGTCAATACATTCAACATAAATTATGAATAAAAAGCTGTTTACCTGCATGGAAATCTATTCCCACAGCAAATGAAGTTCCTGATATAGGCATCAAAGCATCCATTTTGTCACTTGGTTCAAGAGGTATTCCCCTGATTCCTTCATGAACAGAGTACATAAGAAATGATTCTACACCTAAATGCAGGGCAGGGGATAAGTGGGGAAGGAAAGCCAAGAATGAATATTTAAGATAAAAAAATAATTTCATTGGTATTATTTATTTATTTATTTATTTTTTTTTTGAGACGGAGTTTCGCTCTTGTTACCCAGGCTGGAGTGCAATGGCGCAATCTCGGCTCACCGCAACCTCCGCCCCCTGGGTTCAGGCAATTCTCCTGCCTCAGCCTCCTGAGTAGCTGGGATTACAGGCACGCGCCACCATGCCCAGCTAATTTTTTGTAATTTTTAGTAGAGACGGGGTTTCACCATGTTGACCAGGATGGTCTCGATCTCTTGACCTCGTGATCCACCCGCCTCAGCCTCCCAAAGTGCTGGGATTACAGGCTTGAGCCACCGCGCCCGGCCGGTATTATTTTTAATAATCTTAATTTATGTTAATAAGTGTATTCCTAGCCTTTTAAAAAATTATTGTACGTTACACTTCCTGACTAATGAATGGTAGGTAGATTTATTGTTCTCAAACTTGATTATGCATTAGATTGGTTAAAACAGGAATTTTTTTAAATAAATTAGTGGGCTCCATCCCAGGGGCCTGATTATTTACATTTCTAAAAATCTCCCAGTTGGTGATGACGATGCTGGTACAGGCCCCAAACTTTCATAAGCACTGAGTTGGATAATTCTTGGAAGCCTAAATCATCTCACAAACAAAAGGTACTCCCTCTTCTTTAAAGTCCAAATATCTCTTTGCTTGTATATGATAATAAACCTGATTTAAGATGACTATATCATTGATATTTTAATAGACATTTGGATTTTTTAAATTAAGAAATTTATGAAGTTATTCTTCACAAATCCTTGCCATAATAAGAATACATCAAGGGCTTCATTAGCTATAAAATCTTACTTCTCTGGTACCAAAGGCCTGTCCTAAAATAGGCACATAAATATTAAGCTAACTACCAAAAGTACACATGCTAATGCTTATATATTTTTCCAATATATTATAAAATATATATATACATATTTTTTCTTATTAAAACTAGAATGCCTAGATTTAAATCTGCTTCTGCTACTTTCTAGCCATGTAACCTGAGTAAGTTGCTTAACTTCTCTGTGCCTCAGTTTCCTCACTTCTCAAATGGGGATAATAAGAGACCTACCTCATGAGGTTATGAGGATTAAGTGAATTAATATGTATAAGGTGCTTAGAACAGTGTCATGAACATAAGTATCATATAAATATTGGATTTAAAAACAAATAATTGATAATACTAACATATATATGTGTGTATATATGTATTTCTCAAATAAGATTGATATATATAATATATATCATAAAATCAAATAAATGATAAAACTAACATATGTATATATATTTCTCAAATAAAATTGGAGCATTTAAAGATAAAATTAAGCTATGATCATTAGATATAAAAGATCATTCTAGGACCAAAGGTCTTTGGGACTAATAGAACTAGAGACTGCAAAACAAGGAAGAGGAAGACAAACCTCTTAGATAACAGCTCTCTTACAGAGAATGTAAGACATTCTCTCTAGTGCTTTCTCTAAAGTGGTCTAAAGTAAACATTACTTCGTTCAAACTCTACATTAATTCCAGCTCAGTCAAGCACTGCTTTTTACTATAACTTTTGCCTATTCAAGTTGAAGGTAGCTTCTACTAGATTTGGTTAAAGTTTTGATAATAAAGTGCAGTGACTAAAATTACTAAAAAATTAGAATCTCTCATAAGGCAGAAAATGATATTTTTAATATTTCAAATACATTAAAATCTTACATACATGAGACTAAACAGTATATCATTTTCTAACAACTAGTTAGTATTTTTTCTGGTATCTAACTGATTTTGGTTGCTTAAAATCTGCATGGTATGTAATGATGAATGAAGTAAATGAACCAGAGGTAAGGTTTTTTTTATGAACTCATACCTTGACATGACATGCGGTTCTTTTGGAGATAATATCCCACTGTACACATACAAGTCCTTGTAGTTTCAGATGTTGGTAAACAGAGTTGAGAGCATCCACCATTATTTAGTTGGCAGGAATTGCTACCTGCATAAAATAAAAACAAACATTTCTTTTATGCAATTATAAAAAATAAAGTTTTATTTAATATCAATAATTTGACAAATATGTATGCTATTGATTTCTAAATGCAGCTGTTTCATATTGGTTAGGATTGCATTTTATTCTCTTGAATAATTGAAAGTAAGAAATTATGGTTGAATTTTGCCCTTTCAGAAGAGTCAACAGAGATACATGAGAAGATTAATAGTTACAGAAAAGCAAAAGGAAACTGGTTTGTCATAAATATTATCATAGACCTTTGTAATATTTTGAGATCAGAGAAACCAAAACCTTTTGCTCTTCTGATTTTTAAAGTTAACTTCAACTCTACAATTATTTCCTTTGCAAGGATATTTTATCCAAATGTGTCACATAAATAGCTGTTAAATTATTATTAACCCCTAAAACATTATGCTTCTAAAAGAAAGAAGGTATGTGTGTATATAGGTAATCAAATAATTTTTTAAAGCAAAGAAATAAATTTTCCCATTCATAGGAACATAATTCTCCAAAAATATATAAAAAACACAGCCATAAGAGCCATCTAATTAATTGGCATGCTAATTCCTCTTATTTCTGTACAGTAACAATGACAAATATTAGTCAGGTATTCACAGGTAGACATTCTAGAATCCCTACTAAAAATGTCTCATTGAATTTACTAGGCCCAATGTGCTAATTAATGCTGGTAGTGTAAAGTTAAGTAATTTACAATCTTACTCGGAAAGTTCATTAAATATCTCATTTTTACAACATTTTTATTATTCTAAAGCACGCAATGCCATTTACTGGATGTTCAAGCACTGATATGAAATGCAATAAATCCAGTGAGAATTACAAAGCATGATGAAAGCTCTATATCAATAGTCCTCTATGGAAATTTCAAAATACCAATGCAGCTCATTATTTCTCATCTTCTGAATTCAAGATAGTCTGATGGGACTTAACTGTTCAATCGAAACTGCCATGAGTTCTGTCGTTGTTGAGGTGTGAAATACTCTCAAACTTGATGATTTCTTGTCAGGAGATCTACCACTTTCTCTGCTCATGTCCTGTAGCCACCAGTTCAGCCATTGCTGAAGTTCATTTTATGTATGGCCATATAACGGCCCAGAACTTTTTAAATGATTATGTTTATCTTATATAAACTAATAAAAATTAACTGATTCATTCCCACATTTTTTCCAAGCTGACTTACATTTTAAAATGAAATTTCATTTCTGTCATTTTCAAATAATGAAACAATTATATTTATAGATTTATAATAATTTCTTTTTTTTTTTTTTAGACAGAATCTCACTCTGTCACCCATGCTGGAGTGCAGCGGTACAATCTCAGCTCACTGCAACCTCCACCTCCTGGGTTCAAGAGATTCTCCTGCCTCAGCCTCCCAGGTAGCTAGGATTTCAGGTTCCTGCCCCCATGCCCAGCTAATATTTGTATTCTTTAGTAGAGATGGGGTTTCACCATGTTGACCAGGCTGGTCTCGATCTCCTGACCTCCAGTGATCTGCCTGCCTCAGCCTACCAAAGTGCTGGGATTACAGGCATGAGTCACCACGCCCAGCCTAAATTTATAATAATTCTATACTGACCATATATATATTTCAGTTTGCAGAAAGCATGGATATATTAATGTAATGCCAGTCTTTTAGAGAGACGTATTTAGATGCAGGGGAATTTTAACTACCAAGACTGAAAGGCTGGGGAGAGATGGGCAGATGATACCTAACTATAAAGCCTGAAAGAACAACACTTGGAGAGAAAGAGAAATAAGGAAATTGAAGAGGCTAGGTGCGGTGGCTCACGCCTGTAATCTCAGCACTTTGGGATGTCAAGACAGGCAGATCTGAGGCCATGAGTTCTGAAACCAGCCTGTCTTGAAACCCCATTTCTACTAAAAATGCAAAAATTAGCCAGGTGTAGTGGCATACACCTGTAATCCTAACTACACGGGAGGCTGAGACAGGAGAATCACTTGAACCCTGGAGGCAGAGGTTGCAGCAATTATACCACTGCACTACATACAGCCTGTGTGACAGAGCAAGACTGTCTCAAAAAAAAAACAACAAAATAAGAACAAAAAAAAAAAAAACAAAAGTAAAGAGCAATAGCTTAGGAAGGAGAATGAACTTGCAAAAATAAGAGAATTTGTGCTTTGATAATAGAAAAATATATGGAAAAAAGGAGCTTCTGGGACTGTATATTTTTAATATAATTGCAAAAATAGCCATATACAAATATTGTATATAATATTTCAGACAAATTGTTCAGATATATAGAGAACTATATTTTTGATAAATAATAAAATTGATATATTTCAACAATTACATTACACACTAATATTGACTAAATGTATGTCATATAAGGATATATGACATACATTTCATATATTCTTTGTTTAGTCTCTAAGAAGAAATAGTGAAGGATAGAAAAAGTAAAAAAATTGTGAAATGCATTCTTATTTACAATAAGGTTCTTTTTTCTGTTAAATATAAAATAGAAAATATAGTGAAATTTAAAAGTAATAATTTATGTGAAATATTTATGTCTTATGTTTAAATTTATGTTATCTATCAAATTATAAATACTAGCATGGCTAAATATTTTATAATAATATTGATGTTGAAACCTCATGTCCCAAATCTCTCTAGAGGAGCTAGAAAGTCCACTTGACTAACAAGAAGTCTCAACTCTCCAGTGATCTATGTCAAAAATTTTATATGAAATCACTAATCATACTATGAAATTCAAATAGGTAATAATGTTAACACCTTAAGGAGTCCTAAATTGGTCACATTTCATGCTAATGAAGCTTTTAAACTACTTACAGTAATTCTGTTAATAGGATTGTTTTTAATACAGATGCTTTAATCAGTATATTCTTCTAGTAAAGATGGTATTTTCACTGCTTAAATTTTAAGCTTAGTCATATTATACCATTGATTTCTAAGTGCTAGAGGTCCTTGTCTGTTCGGCCATACTTTCACAAAGCATAGAACAACCAATTATGCCTATAGAATCAAATCTTTAAAAGATGAGGAAAATCTTGTTAACAAGAGTAAAGTGTGCTGAGAGTCATATAATAATTTTTTCCTCCTAGAAACTTCACTGGAATTATATCTACAAAATCTGACATATTAATTTACAGCTTCAAACAAAGCATATGCTTGTTCACAGATTTAAAGAGTGTCTAATTTTTTCTTAAATGCTTTGTTTGGAAATTCTCTCTCTCTCACCCACCCTCCCTCTCTTTCTCATATATTCTAATATTAGGTTTTCAGATACAATCTCATAGGTATGTGTTATGCACTAAGATTTATAATAGTACTGTGAGTTTTTACACAAAATTATATTCTATTGAAAATCTGAAACAAGTCTCAATGTTTTATTTACTGAGTACCAGTATTTTATTCTCAATTACATAATCTATTACCCTTGACTTAAATGTCAGTACGATTTATTTTCATACAGAAAAAGTTTTATTACTGAATTACTAGTGAAAATGACCCTGTTTATTATTATGGCCATAACGCAAAAAATTCAGAGAACAAATAGATTTGTATGTAACCATTTGGGTATTATATATATTCTCAGATTACATATGTATGTATACATATGTATATACATTCTCTTGGGTGCATATACATTCTGTATATGTAAATGTACAAACATTCGTTAATTCTCAACCATAAAAGGAACTTAATACTTTAGATAAATGTTTAAAGCAATTCTTTTCTTCTAAAATTATTAAATTTTTTAATGAATAAGAAATCTGTTTTCCTCTACCTGGGGCATGTGAAGATTTCAAACGAATGTGACCCATTCCCTGTACAAGGAAGGCAAACCCTAATCTGATCTCCATCTTATCTCCTGATGTGCAGGTAGAGTTGTCAACTGGTATGTCCAGTAAATTCCGCTTGCTTGATTGTTTCACCTATCTTCAGAAATAGCGATCCCCTTGGTTTTCTGTTACTCCTCCTACTCTTCTCTGCTTTGCTGAACACACCCCAAATCCTTCAGATGAAAACCCCTCTCTTAGTTTCAAAATCATTCTGGAAAGCTTTTCCTAAGAAAAGTATGTGAAGTTAAGGATTTTCATGGAAGAGATTAACGTATGAAAGTAGAGTACAGAAAAAGACTTTTTTTCTTATTTTTTATAAAGAGAATTCTGCTAATGTCATGGAGTATGAAGCAAAAGGTATGAAAGGACTAGCAGGTGTAGGGCTGTACTGGCTGCCATCTCTAATCCATTTGCCATTTTGGCAGTGTGACAAGTCTACCTATGTAAACCATCTGTTAGTTCTCTCACTCCATTTCACTGCACACAATTTGGACAAGCAAAACAAAAAAGTAAAATGCTTAGAGCCAAACAATGTCTTGCTTTTGGATAGGGAATTATTTTGTTGATGTAGTCCATTTGAAGTACCCTAGTGCATTCAGTTTCTGGGCTTAACCATACATTGCATATATTTTTGCCAGGACATATTTTCCTATTCTTGTATTTTTTTTTTTTAGTCAAGAATGGGATAATACCTCTTCGAAGACCTGACAAATTAAAATTCCTATAGTAGTTTTGCTAAGGTTTTCAAAGCTTATTATACACTTATGTTAAAGGTGTATACAGGCCTACAGTTTTAAGCAACATTTTCCTTTTTTCTCTTTTTTAATTAAAAGCAATAACAGAAATATTCTATTGTTGAATTGAGGAGCTAGTAGAAAAAGGGCACATTATGTATTCAAAACCTGGCACAAATTCATTAGTGTGACTTACCTTGCTGTGCTTCTTTATCATATACTTTCATATGAACTACCCCAGAAGTCTTATTTCTTAGGATGGTGGGGTTTCTTCCATCTCTTTTGCTGCAGGTTCCCAGCTGAGCTAAGTTTTGGTCTGCCCACCACAATTTCTTATCTATAAAAAGGAAAGCTTTTTTTAAAGGAAAGTATAGTCTTATTAAATAATAATAAATACCTACTAAACTATAATACTTTCTGATTTCTTTTGTTACATTTCCAAACTCTGTTTCTAAGGGAAACAGTAAAATCACTGTTACATTTTAAAATGTAGCTCAGAGTGACATTTTATTGTTCAAATTTTCCTCCTCCTCTACAATTAGATTCCTCAATTTATCTTTTTATTAGAAAAAAATATAATATTCTTGTATTTTACATAATTTTTAAGTATTATATAGCTGTAAACAAAAGCATATTTCAAATTAATATAAAACCAGATTTTATTATTTACATACTTAAACATGATCACGTAGTTTTGTACTATACATATTTGTAAATAAATGGCAAAATCTAACAAAACATCTAAAGAACAATTATAAAACATACATTGTTCTCACACTTTTCTATTTATAAAAGCATATAAGCTTTTAATAATTTGCGCTCTCCATTACTGGTCTCTTAACAATTATATTAACCTTCTCTATATCTTCTAATGACCCATTTTCCAACACTGTATTAATTTACACTGTTACCACCTGCTGAGTGATCATTAGATACCAGAGAAGCTAGTGTGCCACAGATATTTTTTTTAAAAAGAAGAGAGAGATCTTCCTCTCAGGAAGCTAGCATTCTAGTGAAAAACTATACTTTCATGATCATATTACTTCAAATTATGAAAGCAATACTATAAGGAAACTATTCTCATTTCATTTTATAAAGAATCTGAGACCCAATAAAGACGAAGTAACTTAATGAAATTTACACATTTGGTCCTCCTATCTAGAAAATTTGTGTTCTTTCCAAGACGGCATAAGAGCATTAAAAACATTTAAGGCAATGCAGCAATTTAAAATAAAGTTATAATTTTAAAGGATTTGAACAATTCAGCCTTTTCAATAAGAATAGAATTAATGGCCACAAATTGAGACCACAAATCAATTTTCTACCTACAAGTTAAAATAAGGTTATTTAACTCTATTTGGGTGATTAAATAGAGATATTTTTATATTTAATACCACCTACATCTCCTTAGCTCTTTGTCCTTAGTTCACAGAGGGCTGAGAGCTGATAGAAAGTCTCAGATAAGTAGCCACTGCTCTTTTCTAAGATACTCAGTGAAGAGGTTTTGAATATTAAAGCTGGTGCCATGCAACATGGTTCTCTACATTCTGGCACTTGTGGAAATCAAATCCTGACCCCTAGGTCCTTCCTAAAACTAAACCTGCATGTCACAGGGTCCAGTTCCTTTCAGAGCTCTCCCGAAGAAAGACACCAAATGAAAAGAGTTCTATTTTCATAAAGGTAAGAGACATTCATGAAAGACACACAGTCCTTCTTTGTTAACCAACAGAGGAAATCGAGGATCTCAAGCTCAATGGGAAAAATGAGCACAATGAAAAATAAACACTAAGATAAACATAGGTGCACAAGTAGTAATTTAGAAAAATTTTTTTTGATTTTTTTAATTATGAAAAATCTAATAAACATATTCAAGAGATTCTAGTACATAGGTCACTCACGAAAGTAAAAGATGGTATAAAAAATGAACAATTACAAAAGAAGTCTTTAGAGATTAAAACATTTACCAAAAAATATTTTTTAATAGAATCATCAGAAAATGTGGTGGTGGAAACTTTTTACAACATAGAGAAAAAGAACCAAAGCAACCCTAGAAAATGGTAGGGAAAAAAAAAGAAAGATTAGTAGAACATTTGTTTTAAAAGCCCTATAGCCAGTAGCATCATCCTGTTAGGTATTACTGAATTCACTACTGCCATGCACTCACAGGGGAAAATATGCCAGTTTTACTTAAAAATTACCTTAACTGACCAACAAAAACTATTAATTTTATTAAAGCTTGACTCTTTAGGACATGACGTTTTAATATTAAGTCACGAAATGAGAAATGTGCATAAAGCCCTTCTGCTGCATACCAACATACAGCTGTCTGGAGGGACCGACTTATGCGATTGCTTGAGCTGCAAAAGCAATTAGCTACTTTTTTCATAGAACATCAATTTACCTTTGAAGAATGACTGACAGACTACGGCTATTCAGACTTAAATATTTAGAAGATGTTTACTCAAAAATGAATAAGAAAATCCTGTCACATAAAAAAAAGCTAATGCAGTTTCTTTCCAATGATAAAATTAAAGCTTTCAAATGAAGATTAGAGTGTTGCAAAACTTCTATCAATACTGTAAGTTAGACAATTTCCTAAAACCTAAAATTTTTTCTAACAAGATTTGTGACAATATTCATGAATCTAATTTTTTTCAATATGGTATAATGAAATATACAACACTAGGAAGATATACATAACATAAGAAAGAAATATTTTTCAAATGAACAATGCAAGCTGAGCCAAAATCATGCATAGAAAATGATTAACTTATAGTGAAAATTAGGCCAATAAATTTTAATATGAGCAAAAATACAAATTTAGTAACATGGTTTTTGCTATTCACTGTTAAGAAACTAATACTTGTTAAGTTTTTACATAGTTTAAAAAGAAGAATGTTCATATAATTTGAAAAAGCTTTTAAAATAATCCTCTTTATGCTAATGGCATATATCTGAACCTACACAACATCTCCTGAAGCAGATATAAAAATTCGGCTATATTGTAAGACATTAAGTAAATTTGCAAAATGTAGAACATGGCCACTCTCCTTGCTAATTAAGAAAATATAACTATTAATATTAAAATATAACATATAAACAATGTGTTTATTTTGTAATGTTTAAGTAAATTTGTAATAAATATTTTTAAATTTTTTCAGGTTTCATATTCAATATTGTTATGTATAACCCACATCAAAAGAGCTCTTAGGGATCTCAATAACTTGTAAGACTATAAAAAGGTCATGCAACCAAAAAGTTTGAGAACCACAGCTTCAAGTGATTCACCAGCAAAGAGAATAGAGAAAACGAATAGATGCATGTGGCGTTTCAGAACACTCTGCTTAAAAACATATCTTTTTTAGAAGTTTGGAGATAAGAAAAAAGGTAAGTCACTTACAAGAATTACTTAGTCCTTCTTTGCTAACCATCATGCTAAACTTCTCTTCACCATTATAGAAACTGGAAAACAGTGTAGAAATGCCTGGGAAATTATTAGGGGAAATTACAAAACCTAGAACTCTATAGTAAACTATTAATTAACTGTAAAAGTGTGTGTGTGTGTGTGTGTGTGTGTTTGTGATTGTGTTTGTGTATGCGTGTAGCAGTTATATCATAAATTTACCTCCCATGAACTCTTTCTTAAACAGAAACTGAAAGTTAAGCTGGAAAAAAAAATGAGAAAATAAGTCAAGATAATGAGAAGGAATCTAAAAAACAGGAAACTGAACAAAGCCAGATGGCAAAGGAAGGCCCCAGAATAAATGCTATGAGGCGAGCATAAGAAGCTGTCTATATTGGATCATGGGAACAGAAGACTCTGGGAGTAAGAACTCCAGGAAAAGAAAAAGAAAGGAAGAAGGAAGAACGAAAGAAAGTAAGGGAGGAAGGAAAGAAAGAAAATAGTACAACCACAACTAATAACAGGCAGCTATAAGAGATCTGTCCCTGAGAAGTAGGACTGGGGATAGACAGATTAGAGTGTCAGACATTGTTATTGATAAGAATCTCTTCTGTATTATTTATGTTGTAATTATGTGTATATTACTCCAGAAATAAAATTTACAAAAATATTAAATCAAAAATTATGGGCAAAATCAAAAATTAACAAAAGGACTTTACCTGAAGTATAGAATTGAGAGCCTACTGGGCTGTCTGACTAAAGAAAAAGACCATTGTTAAAGTCCAAATCAAAGTGTTCCATTTCTGTCTCCTAGGCCAAAGCCCCTCACCGTGAGGGCATGGATGATTGAGTGAGACTAAGAGTATAACTCTGTAACACAGGAAAGTTTTTATTTGGACCACCTCACCTGAATGGGCCACTCAGGAAATGAAGACATTCCCTTCTTATTCACATAATCAGACCCAGTGGGTCTTGAGTAGAAACTATACACATTAAAGCTAAAGAGAGCTATGTGGGTAGATGAATTCACAAGATATTATCTCTCTGCAAATTCTCCATTTCCATCAGCTAAGTAATTTATTATGGCCCAGGGTTGCATTCACTTAAAACTGAACATTTTAACACATCTCTATGGCAAGATAATAAAAAAAATTGTTTCTGATTGCATTATTTTTATTGTTACAGTAGACTAGAAAAAAAAATTAGAAAAAAATTTTTCTTCCTTGCCCACTAGAAGGTAGCCAACCTGTGGCAGACACTGTGGTTGTTTACCACACCCTTTGGCCATGAAGAATACTAATTTCTACAGGCAACATGTAAAATGCCAGACTTACCCTTTTGTGGCTCCCTGTAGAGGTATCCATGAAACCTAGTTCTGGATTATAGTTTTGGGTGGGTAGGGCTTCTAAGAGTAGCACAAAACCACACCCTGTTCACATGCAAAGTTTCTGAGCTTGATCAATTGGATTCAGATGGCATGGTACAGAGACAGGAAATAAATGGATAAAGGAGCAGAAAACAAAGAGCCACAGCCTTGAAGACCATAACAAAAGAAGCTTGTGCTCAGAAAGCACCAGTAGGACTCAGACAACAGGTATCTTAAGAATGACCAGTGTGAATCTAAGACCCCAAGTATCCTGGAAAAATTATTCCAGGTTGTTGCAGTCATCTAAAAGCTTAACTTTCATCATCCATGATTCTTGCTTAAGGTTCTTCAAAGCCTCCTCATTATATACAGCTTCAGAGTTAAAATTCTCTATCAGATTTTTAAAGCCCTACATAATCAAATTTATTCCACCTTCTGAGACTCCTTTTCAATTGCAGTCTTATCATCTTATAATATGCATTAATCCATTTATTCAATTAATATTGAGCATGTATTATTTGTAAAGTATGATTCCAGATGATGAATAAATGACAGGAGATAAGACTAG